GATTTTTTCTAAACCCATAGCCACTGTTTTCACTACACACTTTGCTAAACTATTTCTAGCACACTTATAGTTACATGTGAAGGCTAAACAGGAACAAATAAAAACACACCTCACATGATTTCCTAACTAACACATATAATAGATGACTTATTTCACGTAAGATATAACTGCTCAACTCACATCGTCCCTATTGTTGGAAGAATCCAGATAATTCTTTATCTTCTCTGCTCGATCCAAATATTGCTTCACTTTGTTCTTGATGCTATCTCTTGACGTATCATTATGACACCCATCTAGAGGAAAATCATTTGCTAGTACAACATACATTTAAGCGCGTGCAACATGTATTGGCATCCCGCTTGGTAAAGTCGCAGAGCCTCTTCATAATTTTTCTTCTTGTCCTCCTCAGTTGCTTTCACAACGGTTTCTATTCCCTTCTATAAAAACACATTATTTTTTCAACTAAACGCTTACGTTGAGGGCAGCACTAGCATCACTGGCCATTTCTACGGAACGAAATATTTCACGTTCGTAAAGAGCGCTAACGCGATTATTAATTATAACGGGCTGTCCCCACAACAATTTATTTTTACAAATTCTAAATCTCCAATTTTAAGCATTTATTCCACAAAACAAACTCAATCGTTTGCTATTCGTTGCCTTTGATAATTATATAGCTTTTAGTTCATTGAATATTTGTCTTTATTGTTTGAAAATTCGCTTTTCTTATTGAAAGAAGCGATGGATAATATTCATTTAATGTGATTAAAAATATAAAACCCACGCATTTTTACATTATCAATACTCTCACTTGATATTAAAATAGAGTTTCTTAAAGTTCAGTTGATTTTGACTAGTATTTATTGCACCTCAATTATTTTCATGTTTTTCTGTTGAAATGCTGGTGCTTTCTATGAAGATCTGCCACAATTTAAAGATGGAGATCGTTGTCCATTCATTACCACACAATATACTCTTTGCATAATGTATATTGATTCGTGCGATAGACGTCCTAAACTATGGCGTCTACTCCAGAAGTACTTTATTAATATAACTCAGNACATAACTGTCAGGTTGTAAGGTGTGGCATGCACCGCATTCGATTTAGAGAATATATGACAAAAGTAATGGTCTTTTTTCAATCCTACTGACAGGAAAATTACGTACAGAGTTGTTCAACTTTGGTAAACCCGATATGGGCTATGTCCAAATTTACTCTATCCAAATTGACCCTCCAATACATATCACCTCAAATTCCTCGATCATTAGAAGTTTGTAAGCTTGCTTAATCAATTGTGTTGCCATTACAAAATCATAATTTGTTATGTGCAATGCTCTTCAATTTGTTGGAATCTTTAAAATGTGCGAAATTTTGTCACCCTCATTGGGCATAAACCAGACCGTTCTTATTATTAGCAAATCATAATATTTAAACGACTTTGATTTTGGTTGCGGTTGGTGTAATTAAGAAAATGGGAGTGAACGTGCATCTCTGCATTAATTACATCCGTTTTTCAAGAAAGTCTAGCCTTCTTAGGCGTCGAAAATAAATGAAAAAATGAATAAATGTGCTAAGCCAATTTTTCACCTTTTCCATTTTTCCTCTCTAAATTAAAGTTTTCATATAAAGCTATGTATTACAAGGATACAAATTTGATTAGCACAGTGTTTTGCTGAAAGTAACAAGCGAAACAATTTGTCCCTAAAATCGCGTGAATGGTAGTGATTAATTTTGCTATAATTACTGATTGAAGAGAGGCCAAACCAGTATGATGAGGACAAACCAAAGACTGCGAAGCAACTTCGTGTTCCGAGAATTATATCTCTGCCAGAGAACGAAATATCACCATTTCTACTACCCATCGGTTCAAGGTACATGAATAAGCCCAGCAAGCTTCTCTTGCAAAATCTCTCAGTACCAAATTGTCCTCGAGTGCATCTATGAGTCCTTCTTTGTAAAGTCCTTTCAGATGACAATGAAAATTCATCATTTAAGGGACAATAAATGATTTCGAAGTCATCTTCAAGTGCCTTTATTCCCCCAAAGCAAGTCCCCCCCCCCTAAGAATGACGCATTAAATGCCAGCGTGGACGCTGACTCCACTATTCACTCTTTGAGATTTGCATATTCGAGCATATGGATGCATCGGATTTGTTTCGCAATGCAATTTCATAATTTCAGCTTCTAGTATAGTACCTAATTTAGGGAGATGAATTCACATGGTGGACACAATTCCTATAACGCGGATTGAAAATTCTAAATTAGCCTTTTGTTAATAAGATCAAAAAATCTTCCTTTCTACTGTTTATTTATTTATTTCGAATGGCAGGCATTTTGATAGTTATCATTAGCCCTTAGCTGACTTCGAACTTCACAGAGGGGAGGAGGAACATCAAAGTTCAAGTGGGTGGAACGAAGAGTGATCTGCAGATGTAAAAGAGACAGACACAATGATAGAGAGTAGGGTGAGGTGAGTACTATGGAAGTAGTCGAATATGACATACAGTGAGGTCATGGTATCTTGAAGTTAGAAGTCAACTGGCAGTTAATAGACTTTTTTGCCGTATGAGTATGTTACCCAGGGTGCTCCACATGGAGGTAAGTCTATCGCACGCCCTTTTCTACTCTTTATAAAGGCATTCAGTAAAATGGAATTCAAGGTAAGAATGTCATTATGTTATTTGGAACAAATTAGTTACGTTATTAACCCATTCCAAAAAATTTTATGATAATTTAAATTGATCCACGATTTCAGAAGTGCTACAGCCTCACATCAGAAGAGAGCTGTGACGAGCCTTACGTTCTGCCTCGACAGACATTGGATGACCGAAGTTGAGCATTTCAGCTACTTCGTCTTTAAATGGCAAACACGAAGCGCTTTGAACAGAGTGGAAATTGGTGCTAATGAGTCGTATAGACCGGTCGGAACTGACACCACGGAGTTGACCTCAATTCGATAAGTGACGACAGCAGTAACTTAAGCTCAGGACTCAAGCAATAAGTGCGACAAATAAAATACTATCTCAACTAATGAATGTATTTTACCTCAGATTTAGTTGATGTCTATGGCAACCAGTAAAAAAGTAAATTTCAACTAACCCGACTATTAAGATACTTTTAACCTTATAAAAAGACATTAAATTCTTTCGAACGAACAATTAATTAGATTAAAACCGAGGATATCGGGTATATTTTTCAAATCTTTGCTACGTAAATGGTCACTGCGTATATCCAAACTTGCATCACAATATTAATGATTAGCTTTCTGGTCTGGAAACTATCTACTTCAAATGTTTAAGTAGCTATTAAAATATTGAACAAATAGTCCTCAAAATTACATTATCCATAGAGCTAATATCTAATAAGCTTGATATTCCAATATAAAGAAGCCGACACAGTAGAATTCTCAAAAGTTTGCCTGAACCGATACCAGAATTCAAGTTTTGTCAATCCTTTTACAAATAGGATGTTATCTCCCCTTTTCGGCTTTTGCAAGGCTGCAAGAATATGGCTGCAAAACTATCGTTACTATTATCTAAGCGAATTACCCATCATTTTTACTATAAACTGCCACACATAAGCAGATAAGAAGATTTTCGTTGAGGCACAAGTAATTTGTATTTCTCCCCCAGGTCTGGACAGGTTGCTGAAAAGTTGTTTGACTGCATTTTAACTTTTAACCCCAAATAATCGAAAACTTGCGGTAGTCTCCATTGAAGTATGATTTTAATAACAATTTAAGAAACAAGTTAATTTCTAAGTGACTGTTCTCTGTTTATTGTGACTGCTCACTTCGTTTGACAATACATTGTCGCGATTTCCTTTTTGAAACTCCATGAATTTTCATTTTTTCCCATTGTGATCTATCTGCGAGTAGACATGACAAGGCTTTGGAAATAAGACAGGCTGCATCAACTCCAAAAATATGTTATTTACTAAACCATGTCTTTGCAAATGAATATAAATTGTTCCCATAATATAGTTATCTGAGGGTCAGAACTTCACGACATCAATAATAATTCGTTCAACTCGACTTTTATGGAGCAAGGAGTGGCGGGCTACACAAACTGATAACTCCTTACGATTTAGACCAAATATGTTGGAGCTGATGAGCACATAGAGAGTATTTCCCAGCTGTATTTGTTCATTTCCAATCTCACTGACAAGAATATTAAGAACTGAGTTAGCCAGCTTTGTTCATCCTGGTTTAAGATATGCCCACATTAACTCTACCAAATTAACTCCCTAATACGTGTCACGTCCAAATCCTAAATCAGCAGAGGTTTGAGAGCTTGCTCGACCATTTATATTGTCCCTGCAAAATCTTAATTAGTAATTTGCAATGCTCTTTAATTTTTTGAATGCAGCTTTTACCAGAGGTATGATGGCAGTGAAGGTTACCTCCCTAGATACCTGCTGGTTCAAAATTAACCGTGATGGTTCGTCAGCTTGCCCGAATCCTGTAGTCTTCCATTCTTAGATTGCAATAACGCATTCTGTCAAACCTATTGCTTAGCGTTGATGACGATTCGCTGTATATGTCGGAAGATGTCATTGTAACCAATGACTGATAGGAGGGATTCGTGGTCTGTTAGAAAATTTAGATGACAACTATGGACAAATTTATGGGACTTCTCACCATAGACAACTGCAAGTTAGCCTTTCTTAATTTGTGATTTATTATTTGCCGCTAATGTCGGTGGATGTTATGCATGAGCTATGGCCTTCCCTGAGTCAATTAGGATAAACATGAGGGGAACACTGCTCCAAAACCGTAACTTGGAGCATCTGTCAAGGCGACTCGAATATTCGGTTTCACGAAGAGTCAAAAGCATATCGGATTGCAGCGTGAATCTCTTCTCCTCAGACGCTCTTTCACAGGCAACAGACCTACATCAAACAGCGTTCTTCTGGATGAAGACGAGTTGATGGTGCACAAAGTTCATGGAGAGAAGGTAGAACACTACTCTATCAATAAATTTGTCCAAGGGATTGACGAAGGACTTAAACATCTATTGGAGCTCGAATTCAGTGGAGATCAGGTTGGCCATCTTCCAGATCCGCAATATTTTGTGGATTTAAAGAACTCACATTTCTCTGATATCAGGTGCAAACCTAAATCGATAATGCATTCAAGAAGACCCCTCGTCTCCTACTCTCCCCCTCCAATCCTCTTGTCTGTCGTGGCGTCGTTTAGATAAGTAGTTGTACCTTTCAGAGCATTAATCATACCATTCATCATATGTTGGAAGGTGACAAGGGTCCCTCTCTCTCCCCCCTCCCTGAACAGAAGTCTGTTAATTTGAAATAGGCCACGTGGAACAGGAAGATGGCTGTGCTTTCCTTCAAGAACTGCATTCAAGTGAGTGAGGAACAGGCACATAAAGGAATGCTGAAAATCTGTTTCCATGCAGTAACTACTGACACGACCTGCTTAGAATAGGACTCCAGTTGTGGAATACCGATTCCTTCAAGACGTGGCAACCCCCTTCGTCTTCACTTTATGTACCAGAGAAGGCAACTAGAACCTTCTGATGGATATTTGGAATCATTTGTTCCCTCGAGTACAAGGTTAATTTTTATTTTCATGGATTAATCCAGGGTGCCTCTGGAAACTGATTAAAATAGCTTAATTGCGTTCCATTCATCTCCAGTCATTTCAATATCGGTTTCGCTTTTACAAACACATTCTCCCAGACTACAAAGGAGCAATATGTACTAAAATAGAATAGTTAAGAATAGATTTGAATTCAAATCGTTTAAGATTTTCATTTGTCTGAGTAATATAATCAGTACAACCATAATTATGACCCCTAATTTTTTCCCAAATACCGCTTCCACGAACTTGAGATCATCCAGTTCAATGGTCAAATGTGATCGGACGTGAACCGGTGCTTTCTACGTGGTATGGTCGCTGACTCAATGGTCGAATGCAAAATTTAGGCTCTTTTGTTCCGCTGATCTCAGTAAGTAAAGAGGGAATTTAATTACTTTCTCCTTAGGGGTGTCAGCCAGGTCTTTTCTGAACACATTCTTCCATAGTTATCATGCAGATCAGTAAAACTAGGATTCACTTCTGGAGAGCGGTAAATTCACTGTTCTCTTGGGCTGGATTGCGATGGTACAAATTGAAATAGGAGGTGTCTTCTGTTCGTCCATTATTCCCAGTCAGGTGTTCTGGAAACCATTCCGTGGGTTTTAGGTAGATAATCTGAAATTTTTTGGCATCAGCAGCAAGCTGATTTCTCGTTGCTTCAAAAGTCTTCTGAAATTTCATTGGTTTCTTTAAACGGCATGTTCAATTTTGCGCATATTTTGAGGTCATTTTCTACGTCCTTTTTCAAATTAAAGCGTTCTTTCTCACAACCACGAAAATAGCCATTGGATATCTAGTTATCTTTGAAAAAATTCAATCCACAAGATTATTGTTATTTTGGATAGACAATCTCACTATTTTCAATGGAAGAGCTAAAATTAGATGTGCGTCACCTCAATGAAGAACTTTGACCCTGTTGGACACGTCATCGCATGCCTGCACGCCAAGATTGGGAGGTGCGACCGTACACAGTGACCAATCATTAACCTCTGATTTGAGCTTTTATTGTCGACGTCATTTCAGTCTCCTTTTATTTACTGTTTGCTTTGCAACAGTAAAATCGCATTTGTGTCCTTGACTAAACCCCAATAATCTTCTCTGGCAAATTTTGAATCCATTAACTTGCCCCCAAGATAGAGTGATTGAGGACTCAGCACTCACCACCCCACTTCCTTCCTTGCCGATCAGCAACATAGCCTCACCAGGATGAAATCAATTTTTCTCAAAGCCATGATAGCGTTGCACACTCAATGAATTTTAGCTAAAATAAAAAAAAAACATTTCAAAATTTTGAAAAAAAACAGCATTGACTCTTTAAATGTACCTTTTTAAAGCTTGCATTAAGAGGGAGGTTGCTAGTGGGGCCGCATTTTACTGTCTTCGGGGGTACTTGAATGAGGAATCGCGTTCTATGCGCCCCTAAAATATACCTTCAGACGAATATATTAACTCATGCTGTTTCAAAGTAAATTACTATTATCTCCGGTTGTAAGTGAGAACGATGTTATCAATGCCCTTTGTCCTTGTGGTTAGACTGTGCTTGTGGAAAATACAAGTCAGAGGTTTCAACTTTGAAGCATTGACAAGCAAGCATGCCTTTTTGCTCCCACAACTAATGTCACTGCAAGAGTCTTTGGTATTGTCGAAGAGGCATCAGAAGCGACATGTTATACCCCACTCAAAAGAGTTGCAATCAGCAACCATCTATTTCTCATGAGAAACGAATTATGAGGTCGCACCCCTTCACAGCTCCATCGCCCCGCGTGAACCTTTACCAGAGGAATCAAACAGAGGACTCAATTCTGAGACAGCTAAAAACGAAACTCTTTCCTGTAAATATGCCAGGATGTCCCGCTACCAAGACTTAAAGAACAAACCTCGATGACAGCTAACGTAGCCAATAGGACTTAAGAACTCTGTGTTCACCCACGTGTTCATCCAGTGGAAACTCCAATTCCTAGCCCTGTCACTCCACAACATTCTGAGTTCCTCACAAAACTCTTACAGGATAGAACCAACCGTGTCGAGGATCGACGAATCTCGTGACGGCATCTCCTCGAAACACCAAAGCCAAATTTGCCACTATCATCGGACATACGGAGATGACACCAATAAATCTCACCAAGTCTGCAAATACTTCTAAGTTGGCAGTGCTTCCTCGAATGGAATCATTATCGCTTCTAAAGTCAGTATTATTCCTCGTTCTTCAAAAAATACACTTCTCTCTTCCCTGCTTGTACTATCAAACGTCAATATTTGAATATGATTGAATCTCTTGAGTCTAATTGCCAGCTATTCTTCATGTTAGCTAACTCAGTGAAGTGATTCGATACCGACTGGTTTCAAAGTGATACACGAAAACCCTCCAAGGAGCCCCTAGATCTCCTTGATCGCTCCAACCCTAAACATGGGAGTATTCATAACCTTCTACCAGATAATTCTACTACGCCAATTAATGGAGGTAAAAAACTGCAACGAACAGAAGCTGCCTAAATCAATTGCCCTTCACCGGAGCCCAAACACTAACCTCTGCTATGAAAGATTACACGACGACAGTCCTACCCTTCAATTTCACCAAAACGTACACAACACAAGGCCAAAAAACCAAAAGCAGCATTAACGAGGTAACTTAGCACTTGCTTACGAATGGCAATCGATGGTAAGCCAAAGTTCAGCTTGGAGACGACACCAGAAGAAGTCGTTATGGAACTATAAAAAGCTCAATCTGGAAATCAAGCAATAGAACCGCCACAAAGGTAATGTCATCTATGTCCTGTGAACACTAATCATATACACCCTCACTTTGGTTTCCTTGGTGTAAGCCCCCTGAGCAGCTCTTGCCTAACCACATCCTTACCCACTGCTACTATTCGCCCTTTTACTCCTTTATTTCACCTCACAATCAGTCACTGTCAGGCAAACAGTTCGACTCATTGTGATCGAAAAATTTCCACCCCCTCCTGATCTGCCGTGTATACACTGTAACTATCTATCGAGTGTTTTCTTTGCTCTCCCTTTCAGCATCCTAACGACGATCTGAAACGGATGGGGGGGGGGGGGGGGGGGGGAT